ATTTAACTATTCGTTATTACACATTTTCTGATAAAGTCCAAAGAAATATGTTGTTAAACAGCAAATATGACCCGTTGTAATGTGAGAAAATTTGACATTGTTCATCACTGGGTCAACGATGTCAGCAACTATCATTTCGGTAATTATGCACAAATGGGAATTTCAACTCCAATTTTGTTGAATTTCGGATATGTTGTGGAGGGGATGGTCTCGAGTAACATGCACTCTGTTCGAGGCGTTAAACGATCGTAGTCCTGGAAAAAACGAAGATTTTTATATAGCAAACCCCATACAATTTCGAAACAAAATGATATGACTGAGGCGAGTGAAACAGAAACAACTTAGCGCAAACGCAATTTTCGAAATTATGAGTTCGAAGTTCTCTTTAGAATAATTAAATATTGAATAAACCTCTCAATCTATATCTTTAAAGTTAATGTAAACATTTATATTCGTCTAACGACTAACATTAGGTTTGGGTTTGATTTTGTTTGCTAACCCTAACCTAAGTCTCAGGCATCAGGTCTAGTTTGGGCATTGAGAGGCACCTCCCCTCTCAACGCTATCCCTTAGGCCATTGTGCACGTCCGAGGAGGACCCAGAACTTCCTTGGCGTGACGACGACCTAACTCTAATACTAACTCTAACCTTAACTCCTGTGAAGCAAAATTATTTTTTTTTCAGTTATTTGTCTAGTTTGGATATTTGGTGGAATTACAAAATTATTGACCCAAAATTTTTGCCTCGTTTGCCAAAATTTTTACAGACGAGCGGCAAGATCAGCGACTAAAACTTTTTGAAAATCACTCAGAAAAGTAACCTTGATAACATATCTCAAGGTCATTGGTGGTAGGTCCTCTAAACAGTAGTTTTACCGCACACTACAACAATCGAGCATTTATTTTGAGATGGTAGATTGCCGTGGTCCCCGAAAGAGAATGTTTTCTTCCGGGGTAGGGAAATGATTTTTTCTTGTCGAAGGCCCTTGAGCTTTTTTTGTAAGTCGCTCGTTTCGCAGGCCAAGTGGACCCTGGACCTTTCTACGGGCATTTTTACGGCCACGGGCCGCTACAATTTTTAACTTAATTATCTGCTTTATTGTTTGAATTAACAATTAGAAAGCATGATGATTTGTTTATATATATAGGATGTAAAACGTAATTAACAATAAGATGCATCTAAGATGTAGTCGTGCGTACAGAGATCGATTCAATATGTATAATGGTTTTATGATAATAACCAGAGACTACTTAATACCAACTTTGAGATATTATGCAGTATATATTAATATGAATCAGAAATAGTAACAAAACTTAAATTATTTGTAATAGATGCACATATGACTCTATATACTTGGAACACTTATTTACATTTATCTTATTTTTGAATTGTTCTATTTATTTTCTTTATTTTATTTTATAATTACTGTAATATATAATTACTATAACTATTATTATTTATTAAACATAGTCCCTGCCTTTCGGCTTTGGAGGACTTCCGGTTTACATACTTTCTGAAGGTCATTGGTGGTAGGTCCTCTAAACAGTAGTTTTACCGCACACTACAACAATCGAGCATTTATTTTGAGATGGTAGATTGCCGTGGTCCCCGAAAGAGAATGTTTTCTTCCGGGGTAGGGAAATGATTTTTTCTTGTCGAAGGCCCTTGAGCTTTTTTTGTAAGTCGCTCGTTTCGCAGGCCAAGTGGACCCTGGACCTTTCTACGGGCATTTTTACGGCCACGGGCCGCTACAATTTTTAACTTAATTATCTGCTTTATTGTTTGAATTAACAATTAGAAAGCATGATGATTTGTTTATATATATAGGATGTAAAACGTAATTAACAATAAGATGCATCTAAGATGTAGTCGTGCGTACAGAGATCGATTCAATATGTATAATGGTTTTATGATAATAACCAGAGACTACTTAATACCAACTTTGAGATATTATGCAGTATATATTAATATGAATCAGAAATAGTAACAAAACTTAAATTATTTGTAATAGATGCACATATGACTCTATATACTTGGAACACTTATTTACATTTATCTTATTTTTGAATTGTTCTATTTATTTTCTTTATTTTATTTTATAATTACTGTAATATATAATTACTATAACTATTATTATTTATTAAACATAGTCCCTGCCTGTCGTTATTTTGTCCTAACCCTTCTGCCTGTCGTTCTTTGGCCTTTGAATCTAGCTGTAATCTCTTCTCTTCTCCATTATCTCTTTCAGCACTGCTAGCCCCTCTCCTGTCTCCTTTAGTGTCTCTTCCAGTCCCTTTGGTCCCCCTGTTACCTTACATTCTTCCAGGATATGTCTCATATCTTCCTCTACTTTATTGCACAGCCTGCACCTTCTTTCTTCCTCCTCTTTCCAGTGTTCCCTTGCCTTAGCTACGTTGCCGCTTCTAAATCTGGCGAGCGTGCTTCTCTCCTTCCATTTCATCTTCCCTTCTAGGTACTTTGGGGTTTCTTCTCTTGCTATATTACTGTAATACCTATTATACCCCGATTCTCTTATCCTTTTCTCTCTCTCCTCTGTTTCCTTCTTCCTTCTTTCTTCCACGATTTGGTCTGCTGTTCACGGTTCTTCTCCGTTTTCTGCTTCCACCTGTGCCCTTCCCTCTCTTACTATAACTATTATATACTCTATATTTTATAAATACTTTTTTATTACCATAAAGGGCGATAAAAATTTGGGACAAAGAAGTAGATTATGACCCTCGTTTTCGGCTAATTTTACAAACGAAATTAGCTAATCCTCACTATAAGCCCGAGATACAAGCTCAAACTACTCTTATCAACTTTACTGTAACAAAAGATGGTTTGGAGGAACAACTTCTGGGTGACGTTGTGAAAGCTGAAAGACCTGATTTAGAATCCAAAAAAGCGGAATTAACAACTCAACAAAATACCTTCAAAATTACCTTGAAGAGATTGGAAGATGATCTTTTACACAGGTAGGTATATGATACAATTTTAGGTGGTATCCTATGTGTTGCGAATTATCAACTACGTGGCGGCCAAAATCTCGAACATACCGTCCCCCTTGAACGGTCACATTCAAAAGTTTTCATTGTGAAGAAGTATGTAATTGCGCATAGTACATTTTGATGAGATATGGATTTACAAAAGTGCGATTATGGAATGAATATGTTAAATTCTAAAATCTATGAACATTTTCCATCCTTCATACAGAGTTCTGTATTCGGCTATGGTTTTTGCCAACTTGCTGATAGAAAATCGACAAGATAACAGTTGGGAGTACATGGGACAAATGACATATTAGATGTGTTTAAGCTGACTGCGATGAATTACCCATATTCGAACGCAGGAGATTGTGGTGCCGTGTATGGCACAGCGTGCAGCTACCCATTGGGCATTCTTCAACAGAGTGTGTGCTACACAGACAATTGAAGCAAAGGTTTTTTTTTCTCACTAGTTTTGATCGCTCGGGTACGGACGTTGTTAAAAATTTCTTGCAGTATCGCGAGGCATGAGATTTATTACAAAGGTTGCACGTGATTCGAGACTGTGAGATGAATGTTTGGTTTGGAGTCCGGTTGGATTCGTGCAGTTTGCGTATGCCGTCTTGTTCCGGTAACGTAAATTATCCTGACGGGTTGTAGAGTGTGATAGTGTTTGATATGATGATGCTGTAAGTTCTAACATCCCGCAGCGACCGTCTAAAAATTTGAACAGTTCTTCGACTATTGGGAAGGGTGTGTTTACTATCCTTTCCTTCCATTTTAACTCGGTCTCGCGATCTAACTTGGATGTACGCAAATAAAGCAGCACTGCATCCGCGGTCGGTTGTTTGAGCGCCTGCAAGACTCTATAATGAGTTTCTATCTTCTTTGAATAGGATTATAGATCTTGGTACGATGTAAAGGCCGCTGTAAAGGAGTCATGTAAAACAATGTCTTTAAATGGTTATCTTCTTTGAATAGGATTATAGATCTTGGTACGATGTAAAGGCCGCTATAAAGGAGCCATGTAAAACAATGTCTTTAAATGGTCGACTACGATTTTTACAGGTTCGTTGTATCTCTTTTGTAAAATCTCCCATGCTATCGAATAATTTATGGCTCTATTGTCTAATGATGCTATTGCGTTAGCATCCTGTATTAGGCAAGGGCGGAGATAAATGAATCGCTTACAGTCGTCAATACGTAAATTCTCGTGTACTATGAAGCGAAATTGCACCGCGACCCTTGGCCAATCTTCACAGGATCCCGAAAATGTACATAGCTGATTTTTTAATAATGCTATTTCATTGTCGGCTGGAACCGAATATGGTGCGCCCAGTGAGATTAGCGTACTATCTGTTGGCTCTCTTATCCGCATTTTTGTCTGTTTAATTATATCTCGAGCGCGTTCTTTACAGGTATAAAATGTTGCTTTTAGGTTAAGGTATTCCTCTATTGTCTGCCCATAGTCTGTCTCGTCTAATTCGCTATGGGTTTCTTTAAATGGGACATATTCTTTTTCAAGTCGTCTAACGTATATCGAATAGGGATTGCTGACCTTCCTTCATCATAGTATCAAGTACCGCATATTAAACATTTTGTGGAAAAAAGTCATTAAAATTTAGTTTTCATTTAAATGGTAGCCAGTTATTAATAGATCTGGAAGAAATCTCCAAAAATGAAGTGATTAAAAAGTATCAGTTTTTAATTGTTGTGATTACGAATAACTATTAACTAATATTTAATATTTATAATATTTCACTCGTAATCAAAATCTTTTAATTAAAGATATTAACTGTTATATCTCAACTTTCAAAATTTGTCTTATGACAGTTATGGTGTGTGTTTACAAATGTAAATATCATGACATAATGTTGTGTTTTATTTTCAAAGGTTATCGACTGCTGGGCCAGACATTTTAAGCGACGTCGATCTCGTGATCAATCTCGAAACCACGAAAAAAACTGCTGCGGAAATAGAAATAAAAGTAGCTGAAGCTAGAGTAACTGCTGTAAAGATAGACGAGGCTCGAGAAATTTATCGTCCTGTTGCGGCTCGAACCAACCTCTTATATTTCGTTTTAAACGATTTGAACAAGATCAATATGCTCTATCAGTTTTCTTTGAAAGCTTTCAGCGTTGTCTTTCTGAACGCAATCAGATTTGCAGTAGCTTCGGAGGATTTGGCTAAGCGCGTGGCTCTTTTAATGGATAGCATCACTTATCTAGTTTTCATTTATACAAGCAGAGGATTATTTGAAGCCGATAAATTGACCTTCCTTTGTCAAATGACCATTCAGGTAAATATTTTATAATTTAGATCAGCGGTTCTCAATCTGTGGAACCCGCCATCCGTGTTGCCAGATCCAAGGGATTTCTTTTTCTTGGTTTTGTTTTGTCACTATTCCTATCTTATACCTAGTAATTATTGTATTACTTATACGCTTCCTATTAGTAATTTGTATAAAACAACCATCTTCCATTAGCTACATTGCAACATATCCTTAATACTAATTACTGAACATCGAATATAGATATATATAATGAAATATATATACGTTAAAAATATATATTTGATGGAATCTAAATTAAATAAACTTTGGTGGATATTAAAAATTCTATATTGTTTTTATCATTTTATCAATTTATTTACTAATTCATTGATTTCATCGAAATATCTTTTCAACGAATCT